ATCCTTTTGCATACACTTAGATCCCACATACAGCTATTTTTGAGAAGCGCTTTGAGATGTCTCGCAGACACGATTTGTGGAGTCCTGTAGCTCAGTGGTTAGAGCGCTCGCCTCGCAAGCGAGGAACCTGGGTTCAATTCCCGATGAGTTGGGTGTCGTCAGCATACATGTGGAAGTGTACCCCATGTCTGTGGATGACATCCCCACGAGGGAGCATATAGGAAGAGGAGGGGGCCAAGGATGGAAAGACTTGGGGTACCCACAGGTAACCGGGTGAGAGCGGGAGGAGAAGCCGTTTGTGCAGATGTACTACCGGCGGTTTGTGAGGTAGGACTCGAACCAGGCGAGTGCGGTCCCACTGAGGTGGATGTCGGAGGAAAGGCGGTGGAGGAGGATGGCGTGATCGACTGTGTCGAACGCGGCGGAGAGGTCCAGGAGGACTCTATCTGGTCACAGATAGAGAGGATGTCGTTTCACAAGCGCAGTCTCTGTACTGTGGGCGGAAACCGGACTGGAGGGGTTCGAAGAGGGAGCAAATCGCTCTTAATTTTAAGGAGTTTTGAAAAAAAGACTCCAAGGCCTAAAATCTCAACCAGTCTTTGACTGCGAGACCATCTTTGTCTTAAAATTTAAGTTTGTGCAAAACTCCGGATAATTCCTAAATCCAATTTAGTTAATTGGGAATCTGGTTTTCCACGGTTCTTAGAAGGAATGGCTTCCATTATAAGAACTTTCTGCCATTCTGCACAATCTTAAATTTGGACAAATTTAGTCGTACTTACTGAGACTGCATGAAATGTCAAGCTTGGTGCAGAGTTTACCAAATATCTTACGTAAAATCCAAGGATTAGCCTTCACAATTCTCTCTATCCCTCTGCAGTTTCCCAGCACCAACAGTAATATGTATCATAAGTCTACTTGTTTGTGTTGAAGAAGGAATTGAGGAAAGAATTGAACTCTTCTGGTTCTTAAAGGATATATAATACCTAACTGAGTTCATAGCTCGCCTACAAAATACGCACTGACCTTTACTGGGGGTATTAATTCCCTAAAAAAAATGTGGTCACTCAATCCACTACCATTTGTGGGGACGCTGCTGTGCGCAATTGGCTGCCGCGTTTCGGCCACAAAATATACAGTCAATTCACTATACAGTATATTCCGTGAAGCGCTTTGAGACGTCTCGACAAAGTGATAAGGCGCCATATCAATGCAAGGATTATTATTATTATTTACAGTGAATCCTATGAAGCACTTTAAGATGTCCTTCCAGTGTGAAAGGCACTATATCAAATACAAGGATTGTTATTATTATTATTGTTAATATGGGAATCTGTAGTACTCCTATATGTCAACATCAAACTCATTTACAGAGAGTCTCACTGTCAGTCTTCTCGGAGTCTTGTATCAGTCCCTATTACAGAGAGTTTCATTCCAAGAGCATCCCACCGACAGGCAACTTTTATTTATTTTTTGGTCAGCTGGGTGTCTGACACAGGGGGAAAACCGTGCTCACGATGTGTAAAGCAAATTGAGAGTTCCACATGTGTATGCCGCATATACATGGAAATATAATAATAATAATAATAATAATAATCCTTGCAGTTGATATAGCGCTTTTCACGTCGGGAGGACGTCCCAAAGCGCTTCACAGAACACTGTAAAGTGAATTGACTGTACATTTGTGGGCGAATGCGGCAGCCAATTGCGCACAGCAATGTCCCACAAACAGTCGTAGATTGAAAATAACCAATTTATTATTGGTTTTGGTTTTCCCTGTATCTAGAATGGAATTCTGGACGAGAGAGAACTTTCTCCAGCTCAACGTGTGTAAAACCGAGGCCCTCCTGATTGGCTCGCGTCAGAGCCTCCGCACCTCAGGCGCTGACACCATCAGCATCCAAGGCTGCACTCTCCACCTCTCAAAGCCATCAGGAACCTCGGGGTTCTGTTCGACCCTGAGCTGTCCTTTCTTCCTCATATCCGCGCCACAACTGGCACCGCCTTCCATCACCTCCGGAACATCGCCAGACTACGGCACTACCTCACCCCTCACGCGGCTGAAACTCTGGTCCTCGCCTTTATCACTTCAAGGCTGGACTATGGGAACTCTCTCCTCGCCGGCCTTCCCGGCCCTCCCTCCACACTGCAGGTCATTCAGAACTCTGCAGCTCGTGTACTGTCCCGCACCAGACACCGCGACCACATCACTCCACCCTCGCTCCCCTCCACTGGCTCCCCATCCCCCAGAGGATCGAATTCAAGATCCTCATCCTCACCTACAAGGCCATTCACGGCCTCGCTCCCTCCTACCTCTCCAACCTACTATCCCCCTACCTACCTGCCATTACCCTCCGTTCCTCTGGCTCCGGTCTGCACCACATCCCCCGCCCCAACCGCCCTACCATCGGTGGTCGGGCCTTCAGCCTCTCAGCCCCAAGGCTCTGGAATTCTATCCCCCAGTGCCTTCGCCGCTTCCTCCCTTTCCTCCTTCAAGGCCGGTCTCAAAACTGTGGAGTCCTGTAGCTCAGTGGTTAGAGCACTCGCTTTGCAAGCGAGAGACCTGAGTTCAATTCCAGGCAGAGGGCGAAACCTTGGGCAAGTTTCCTTACTCCACACAGAGCCTAATAATAATCCCTCCAAAAAAAAAACCCAAAAACAATAAGAAATTGGTCATTTTCAATCTACGACTGTTTGTGGGACATTGCTGTGCGCAATTGGCTGCCGCGTTCGCCCACAAATATACAGTCAATTCACTTTACAGTGTGTTCTGTGAAGCGCTTTGGGACATACTCCCGACGTGAAAAGCGCTACATCAAATGCAAGGATTATTATTATTATTATTATTATAAGACCTTTCTCTTTGACCGTGCCTTCAGCTCCTCTCTAGAATCTCTACCCCCTACTCGCTCCCTCCCTTCCCTCCCCTCACCCTGACCATTTCCCCCCAATGCTCGGGTCCTGACCCAACTGTACAGCGCCTTGGGACGTCCTCCCGACGTGAAAGGCGCTCAATAAATGGAATCTTGTTGTTGTTGTTGGAATTTGCACTCTCTCCCCAGAGGCACACATCTGGGTTACCTAATTCTAGAGAGTATTATGCACACATTGGCAAGAGAGCCAAGGCTTGGGGATCCCAGAATGGTGTTCGGGGACATCTAAAACCACACAGTTTGCCATTGAGGACACTGTCTAGCAAGTTACCAGCGAGGACCGCACTACCCCCACCCTGCTCCAAGCTTTGCAGGAGCCGTTGTAAGAATTCCTGCTGCCAGTGACCCAGTTTACGTATGAAAGTTAATTTGTGATAATTTGTGATATCACTGTTATCTCCTTGTCAAAAGTCTCAGAAGACATACAGTACACGATGGCTTTATTTTGCTGAGTTCCAGCTGCACTCACGGATCTGACGAGTCCTCTGGGCTTTTGCTCATCAACAACAACAAGTTGCAGTTATACGATGCCCTCCACACAGGGTAGGGTCTCAGAGCGCTTAACAGTGGCGCAGTCTGTCATCAAGCTCTCGAGTTATAATAATCCTTGCATTTGATATAGCACCGTACCTCGCTGTTCAGCGGTCTCAAAACTCTTCACAGGATATGCTGTAAAGCGGGTTGAATGTTTATTTTGTGGCCGAAACTCGGCAACCGGTTGCACACAGCAGGGTCCCACAAACAGTCGGGGATTGGGTGACCAATTCATTCTTTTTTTTTGGAGGCATTATTACCCCCGGAAAGCGATCCCCCAAAATGAGGGGTTTCTACTTACTGCGCAGTAGGTGGACAGAGTCGCGTGGAGTAGGTTGCTGCTGTTATAAGTCATTATCCGGTGAAAATCACGGCAGCAAGGATGATCACTGCAGAATATTATACAAAGTGGGTTGACTGTGTATTTTGTGGGCTATTGAGGTTATTGCCTTCAAGCTCTTGATGTCAGCGTTGCTCCCAACCCCATGGCCTGGGCTGTGTGGGCGGTAAGCTTGATTGAAGAATATTAAATCTGCTTCCACCCAGCAATTCACTCCGCTCTTCTGTCCCTGAGGCAAGGCAACAGTTTAATTTTATAAATATTCTTGCGTGACAACTTAATGCACTTGCTGGTGACCCGCGCGGGCAACATGACGGAATATAAATCCAGGATCTACTGTCTATTTTGCCGGGAATACGTACAAGACGCCGAATTTATCTCACTGACAAATCTAGACAAGGATCTATCTATCGAACAGCTCTAGTGCTCCAGGACACTACCCCACATGAAAGGTGCCATACAGATACAAGTTGTTGTTGTTTGGCATCACAAACTATGAGGGGCAATGCTGGCCAATCAATAGGACCAATTCCGAAATAACTCTTTCCTTTCTAATATTTTTTTTCTCCCTTAATTTTCTTTCTCTCTTCACCCAAAATGTGCTGAATCCTCCTCTACCTCGTGCCCTGTAGTATTTCACTCAAGCGCCCACTTTAACCCGTGTGATTCACGCACTGTGAGTACTTCTCAGCGTCTAAAGGTGGACATTAAAGATCCTGTGACAATATCTGTAAAGCAAAGGGAGTTTCTTCCGGTATCCTGTCCACAAACCTTCAAGTTAAAGTGGTCATTGCCTCGTGTTCATGTTTAATAATAGTAATCCTTGGGTTTGATACAGCGCCTCATCAGGTCTTCAAGACGTCTCAAAGCGCTTCACAGAATATACTGTAAAGTGAATTCACTGTGTACTTTGCCAGAGAAATGCGGCAGCCAATTGGGCACAGCAGCGTCCCACAAACAACAACAACTACAACAACAAAATTACATTTGTATAGCGCCTTTCACGTCGGGAGGACGTCCCAAGGTGCTGGGCAGACAGAGTTACGTTCGTTGATTGAGTGGCCAAATTATTATTATCATTTTATTTATTTTGAAGGGATTATTACCCCCGGAAAAGCGATCCGCCAATCGACTAACAACCGGGTTGCTACTCACTGCTCGGTAAATGGAGTAAGGAAACTTGCCCAACGTTTCGCCCGCCCGGGAATCGAACCCAGGTTCTCTCGCTCATGAGGCGAGCGCTCTTACCACAAGACCTAAAGGAATTGCGAGGCTATGAGCTATGCGGGCGGATTCATTTCAAGTGCATTGCAAACTTAATCCGTAAATATGTTTGTTCCACTTCACTGCGCGAGGGCAGTGTTTTACAACACAATCAGTGTCTCCGCACTCTTATATTGGTTTACAAAACCATCAACAGAAAAGTACTAGAAATTGGAAGTAATGAAAAAAATCTTTTTCCCTGATTCATAAATAATAATAATAGAATTTGATTAATTTCAAGTGGCAGAAACAGCAACATCTCTGAGTTCCTGTGTGACCCGTGGAGACTCAAATCCCAGGATTAGGTCAATGTGGAGTCCTGTAGCTCAGTGGTTAGAGCACTCGCTTTGCGAGCGAGAGACCTGAGTTCAATTCCAGGCAGAGGGCGAAACCTCGGGCAAGTTTCCTTACTCCACACAGAGCCTAATAATAATCCCTCCAAAACCAAAAACAATAATAAATTGGTCATTTTCAATCTACGACTGTTTGTGGGACATTGCTGTGCGCAATTGGCTGCCGCGTTCGCCCACAAATATACAGTCACTTCACTTTACAGTGTGTTCTGTGAAGCGCTTTGGGACGTCCTCCCGCCGTGAAGAGCGCTATATTAAATGTAAGGATTATTATTATTATTATTATTAAGCAATTAACGATTCTAAAATTAACACCTCTATTCCTCTGTTTTGTTGCAATACCCCGGATTTGTTTGCATCATTAACACCTCCTTAACCTACCGGCCCCTGTCCTCTACCCCATTTTCGGCTTTGTCTTCCTTGCCCTGCTTCTCCCGACGAAGGGTCGTGGACCCGAAACATTGACTCACTCGTTGACTCGTGCGGTCGAAGAGGAGGGTCTTGAGAGGGACCTTGAAGGAGGCAAGGGGGTGAGGGTGAGGGGACTGTGGGATGGAGTTCCAAAGGGTGGGCAGAGAGGCTGAAAGCCTGACCGCCGATGGTGGGGGGGGGGCATGGATCAGGCTGCTGAGTGCAGCGAGTGGACAAGTCGATATGGCAGGAACCAGGAGCCTTATCGATCCGTCAATTTTGCTTTCGCATTCTCATTTCCCAAGTTTATTTGAATCGAATAGATTAAAAGGTGGCAATGCCTGAAACGCAAAGCACTGGAGGGGGGAATGGGGTTCATCAAGGAAAGAAGATAGAGAATAGTCCTAATAACCCTTTCATTTGATGCAGTGCCGTACCAGGTCATTGAGATGTCTCAAAACACATCACAGGATGTACCGCAAAGTGCAGTGACTGTGCATTTTGGAGGGGTGGGGGGGGGGAAACGAGGCTCCTCAAGCAGGGAAGTGTCCCACGGTGCTTGACGGTGGCAGAGCTGAAAGGAGGTGGGAGGTGACCATAGGCACGGGTCAAAGAGGAAAAGGTCTCCAGGCACGACCTGAAGATGGGGAAGAGGAAGGGGCAAGGCAGAGGGATAGAGAGAGAGTGTTCCAGAGTTTCGGGGGTGGGGGGTTAGTGACTGAAAGCGCGGGAGAAAGCGGGTCAGAGAACTGGTATCGCACCACAGTGTTTGTGTACTTCCCGTGGTATATATATAACAGGATTCGAGCAGGATTCTGCAGGTAACCAGATGTGTGTCACTCTGAGCTCTGGGAACTCTGGTGCAAAGCAGAAACATGACACACTTCTGGTGACACACTTTTGGTCCACGGTGTGCCATTTACAGCTCCCGTTTCAACCCTATTGTGAATATCAACATGTTTTACATCCCCCTCCCTTCCTCTCTCTAATCGGCAAAACGTCTGTGGGTTAATGATAAAGTATAAGGGATATGTAGGGCTGTGGAGAAAGGGCAGGTAAATGCGACTGAGAGGATTGCTGTTACAAGAGCCGACACAGACATGATGGGCCAAATGGCCTTCTTTTGTGCTGTTGATTTCTATAGTTCAATGGTTATACTGCCCACCAGCGGGTTTTATTATGATTCCCATCTCTTAGCTAATTTTGTAAATACGAACGGCCCAAAAGTTTGTTATTTCGAGTTCTGGCACCATTTTATCTCCACATTTACGGGGGATTAATCTGATTGCCTCAGCCCGAGCTATTTTATTTCCATGTGTTAAATACTTTATTGACACTTTCCTACAAATGCTCAATTACTACACTTGACAGAAATTTCTCGGGAAGGGCGATGAGATGCTTTGATGTGATAGGCGCAATATCAAATGTTAGGATTGTTATTATTATATTAAGTCAAACATCCTCGTGTTCTTCCTCCTGCAATTTTCCCCAGTGTATCCTATCAATTTTCTGTCTACTTCCTTTTCGTTTCCTCACAATATGTTGAAAAAGCTAATCTTGCAATCATCTTATTCTTACCAATTCCACGTGTCAAATATTGAAGCCTGTTTGCAGTTGTCTGCTCTTTGAGGATTATCCCTTTTACCAAGTAAATATATATGCATTATATATTAGATATATTATACATATATGGAGTCCTGTAGCTTAGTGGTTAGAGCATCGCCTCGCAAGCGAGAGGACCTGGGTTCGATTCCCAAGCAGGGCGAAATGTTGGGCGAGTTTCCTTACTCCATACGCCTCTGTTTACCGAGCAGTAAGTCGGAACCCGGTTATTAGTTGAATAGCGGTTTGCTTTGCCGAGGGTAATAATCCCTAAACAAAATGTTTTTAACTCAATTTTTGAGGACTCAAATAAAGGTTACTCAATCCGCGACTGTTTGTGCCCACAAAATATGCAGTCAATTCACTTTACAGTATATTCTGTGAAGCGCTTTGAGACGTCTCGAAGGCGTGATAAGGCGCTGTATCAAATTCAAAGATTATTGTATAAATAAGAAAGGAATTTTGGAAACCCACTGTGTTTTAGACCTCGCTGCACACTTCTAGTGGTTTTGTACCTTACCTCATTGATTCCTGCATTTTTGCTGTCCAATTAGTTGCTTGGAACGCAGAATTTCAGCAAATCTCTATTCGTTCCCCCTACACCCTCCAGTACACTCACAGACACACTTATTTCCTCTTTATCAGCGATCTGACCTATAGGTTCAGTCATTGCTCAGATCACTGCAGAAAGAGGCTCTTTGGCCATTTTATTAGATCATGGCAGCTCCTTATCTATATAGTTCCACAGTCCTTTTTCGTGTCTCTTACTGGCCCCACTTCCCATGCTTCTATTTATCTCCTTTTTGACACCTCAATCGATTCTGGATTGATGGCCTTCTGGATCAGTGTGTTCCACTTTCTCACAGCCCTTTACGCGAAGAAAACAGAAAGGAACTTCTATCGGTGTCCTGGCCCAACAGTTTTTCACCCGGTTATTCATTCAATGGTCATTCATTTCATTGTTGTTCATGCAAAATGGTTGGCGCAACTGCCTATGAAAATTACTGCCTGTGATAGTAATTGCTGTCACTGAGATCTTCCGACTTCACCACCTGACCACAGCTGCTTTGTCAGTCAGTTTCTATTTTAGTCTGAGATCTGGTGAGGATGATTCTGCTTTTCATCTTCCATTAATGTAATTGCCTTCTTATTATTGGAAGGAGTCATTTTAATTTCACCCTCCTGTACCTGTGGGTTGTAAAGCATCCCTGTAGCAAAGGCATCAGAATGAGCCAAGTGACACAGCATAGAATGAGAACATAATCAGATTTCCATCAAATCTCTCCGTTCACGGCTGTGATTTTCTCCAGTGGTGGCTCCCCACAATGCAGGGAGCAGCAGGAGAAATGATGACATGTTTCCAGTCAGCATCGACCCACTGAACGTCAGTCACAGGCTTCGTTTCACTTAACCTTTCTTGAAAAATGTTCGACTTACTGGGAGCCACAGAATTGACAGGATATGAACTGGAAAATCCAAAGGAAGGCTTGGATTCAGATTCTATTTCTTGTTCCTCCCTCCGTCCGTCCAAACCCTGGTGACTAAGCCTTAAGCCCCCTTTCCTCTGGAACGTTCTTCCAAAATCTCTCCACCTAACCTACTCCCTCCCTAACTCGGAACTGCAGAGGGTGGAGTAAATAAACTTGCCTAAGGTTTCACCTTGCTTGGGAATCGAACCTAGGTCCTCTCGCTTCCGAGGCTGTGCTCTCACCGTTACCTATGGGACTCCACTGCTCCACAACTTTGTTCCAAATTCAATGGATTTGGTGTTGCTGTGTAGCGAGCAGCAACACTACCAGCTTGTCTCGAGCCCTACGGTTAAGTTTCCAACTGTTAATTAAGGCAATATTGATATATCCTGAGCACATCAACACAACCACTGATCTGTCAAGTAAAACCCCTTCATCTTGAAGACGTAAATTGTTAGCATAGATGGAGATTAGGATGGAAAATGCTTCCATCCATAATTAATTCTTTAATAACTCTGACGGTTCATCCACACCTTTGTTCCAAAGTAATTGAGTCTCACTCACAGATAGATCAGAAATAGGGTGTTGGCTGAGTCATTGCTTAGTCGTTGAGTTTAAGGTGCACTGTGACCTGAGAGAGGACCTGGGTTGTTGATGAAAGTAGCGCGGATAAACTCTTTCACCCCATTAGCACTAACAGGTTGATCAGAAAATGAAACAAAAAGTCCTGTGGAGTCCTGTAGCTCAGTGGTTAGAGCACTCGCTTTGCAAGTGAGAGACCTGAGTTCAATTCCAGGCAGAGGGCGAAACCTTGGGCAAGTTTCCTTACTCCACACAGAGCCTAATAATAATCCCTCCAAAACCAAAAACAATAGTAAATTGGTCATTTTCAATCTACGACTGTTTGTGGGACATTGCTGTGCGCAATTGGCTGCCGCGTTCGCCCACAAATATACAGTCAATTCACTTTACAGTGTGTTCTGTGAAGCGCTTTGGGATGTCCTCCCGACGTGAAAAGCGCTATATCAAATGCAAGGATTATTATTATTATTATTGTTTTTTTAATAATAATAATCCTGACATTTAATATAACGCTTTATCATATCTTTGATACATCAAATATTAAATACATCGTCAGCCCACTTTACAGTATGTTCTGTGAAGCGCCTTGAGGTGTGTCGACAAGGTGATA